GAGCAGCGGCAACAGCTAGCTGCAGCACTGGCAGCAGCAACCGCACCAGCAAGCACTACGACGACGAGAACGATGACGACCACTACTGTGACTTCTGCGTCTACTGCTATACTACTACTACTACTACCACTACTACTACTACTACTACTACTTCTTCTTCTGCTACTACTACTGCTACTGCTGCTCTACCTCTACTACTTCTGCTACTACTAGTACTACTACTACTACTACTACTACTACTACTACTACTACTACTACTACTACTACTACTACTACTACTACTACTGCTACTGCTATTACTTCTTATACTACTACTACTACTACTACTACTACTACTACTACTACTACTACTACTACTGCTACTACTCCTACTACTACTACCAGTACTACGAACTACTAGTTGTAGTGCACCTACGGTGCCAGATTATTCGCATGGGGATCTTGACAGTCGCTCACTCTCTGTTCCTTCAACAGACTCGATAACCTCCACTTCCGTTCCAGACTCTTATTCCAAGCAGGCAGGCTCATGGCATGTTTCTTGAGCCGAGAAATCGGGCCTGCGTATAAGAGCTTCCTCGCCGCAAGCCTCCAACATCGGACTCGCAGGCTCCTGTTCGAAATTTACTATTTGAGAATGAAGCACCCAGCGCCGGAGCAGAACTCTGAGCTCTTAACAACAGACATCTAATCCGAAGCGCTGGACCCTGAAACCCTAAAGCCCACATGAGCGTCGAAAAATGCCTCGCCTGGATTGTCCGAGTGTGAGCGCCGAAAGCCCACAACCTTGGAGGCAGGCGTGACATTCTTTGGCATCGACGTCCTCGCGGAGGGTGCAGCGGTCCCCTACCAGGTTCGAAGGAGCGCTGGCTTCGGGCATTCTGGATGTATCAACACATACACATCAAAGACTATCTGGATTTGTGTATCTGTATACACATACACACATGTATAGATAGATATGTATTATATATATACACATACACATAAACACATGTATGTTGTTTCATGCAATACTTTGTTCAACAAGTACGTGTTTGTGTGTATACATGTCTACATATGTTTGTATGTATGCATGAAGAGGCTCATGACAGAAGTTGTGCAACTATATATATATATACATGTGTGTGTGCATCATGTTTACTTGTTCTTTCCTTTTTGGTTTACTTGCATGTACAAACACTTATATACACATACATGTCTGTATTTGTAGTATGTATATACATATATATATATATATACACATTTTTTCCGCATGTACATGGAGCGATACTTACCTACCTTCGCAGCAATATAAGGAGATTGGCAATATCATATTGAGTGTTTGGGATGGAGTTTTGCATTGGGGTTAGAAGTGCTTTTCTTTTGGTTTGGAACGGCAGAAGTGGACCCCTGGTAGCAGGTTAGAGGGCGCACTGCTCGCATACAGGGCGAACTTCATTGCCTCTGGTTGCCAGTGCGCAGAGCCCAATATCCATTGATTCAGGCACGTATACTGTTGACAAAGAGAGGGAAGACTTCTACGAATATTTAGGCTTGTCTAAGGAGAAAGGCAAGCCAACACGTAATTACACATATCACACACATACACACACTCACGCACACGCGCGCACACACACACACACACAACACAGACACACACCCGCGCGCACACACACACACACCACACACACACACACACACACACACACGAACATGTACAAATAATCTCGAGGAGATACCGCGAGTTCGATTTGCTGCGTGCGAACCTTCATCTACTGGCACCATCAGCGACGATCAATAGTGACTCCTTTCATGTGGAGCTGTGTATGTCGGGTCATTTTGAGTTGGGACATAAGACAGCATGCTTGTGCGCAGATGTCCTTGTACCTTTCTCCACCCCTCCTCTGGTTGGTTTAACCACAAGTAGCGGTAGATTCGAAGAGCTTTTTTTATCAGCATAGGGAAGATGAGAATGACGAGTTGCAGCCGTACTCCAAAGTAGCCGGATACCACGAAACATCGTGAAGTGATTTCTCTCTGCAGATGAACTTCAAGCAACCATACACCAAAGACCCTGCCAAAATCATAAACCCTTGCAGAAGCGGCTGGTCCAATGTTTATTATAAAGCTTCTGCACTTACTGCCCTTGGCAGCCCTGCGGCAAGCTATTTGTTTCTTTCGTGTTGTTCCCAGAGGCTCCATAGTAGTTCCTTTTTGGGATTACCTTATAGGGTTCTATATATGAACCCCAAAAAGGAACTACTATGGAGCCTTTGGGTATATGTAAAGGACGTAAAGCTAAACGTAAACTAAACCCAGACTGAAAGCTGTTTGTTGAGGTGACTTTCCCCCGAAGCACCGCTTCTTCGGCTGCGAGGGCGAGCGACTGGAGGCGGATGGCCGATGTCTCGCAAGGTTGATGACGGTTTTGTGGGGGGCGGATCCCAGGTTCTTTGTCCGTTACGGCCCCTGCTTGAATGCACTTCGACTTTCGTCCTTTTGCATTCTATATGCATCTTTCGCCATTAAAAGCTCTGAACCCTAGATGCCCTAAACCTAAAGCGCTTTGGTTCTGTCAGCTTAGAAGCTCTCGACCCCAAAACCTAAAGGCACGAAGCCTCAAAACTCTGAGCCCTGAAAAGCCCCCCAAACCACGCATCTGAGGCAAGGCGAGCTGCCCTGGAACGATGGCTGAAGCTGTGCTGACTTGGGTGCACGGGGGGAGTGATATCCTAAAAGTCAGTAAGACTTTCGGGTCTTGCTGGCGCTGCTTCTAGGGCAGGTGTGTGCAACTTGCAGATCGTTTCGGGCTTTCTGGCACTGCTTCCAGGGCAGGTGTGTGCAACCTGCGGATCTTAAGCAGGTTTGGACTGTTGTGAGCATAGGCGGCATATCTTACACTCTTACATTGAAGATGTTTTGCAGGTCTGGCGTGGGGAGCTGTCCCTTACATGATAAACTGTCCAGGTTTTATTGCAGTCCCTGTCTCCCTTGTTTACCCGTGCCAGGTACCCTAAGGCTCCATAGTAGATCCTTTTTGGGGTCCATTATATAGAATCCTATAGGGTAATCCCAAAAAGGAACTACTATGGAGCCTCTGGGTAAGACTAATGCACTACGTAACAGAACATGGCATTTGCGCAGGAAGGGCAATGACAACTTCATGTCAGCTCTCGGCCAGCGCTGAGTGCGATTCACGGGGATGACATGGATTGTCATACCGGAGTCGGAATAGTGTACTTTGTAATTGTGATCCCTTTGTAGTCCCCACACACAATTGTTGACACGGTTTGTGTTCGCTGCAGAGCACCAGCCTGCGATGTTTCACACCTGTCGGGAAGCAGAGACACTATGTACGTCCTCGCAGCACAGGAAGCGAGCTCTCAACGATCCCAACGGCATCTTGGAATATGATGGGGCCATCATTTCTCTATCAGAGGAAGCGGATGTGTGCTGCAGGCATAGCACGGGATATACGGGCCTAGATAACTACCAAAACTGTATTGGGGGCTCCTTCTTATCATCTGTATGGTATAACTTAGCCCAAAACCAACTTTTCTTGTTATCAAGGTCCCTATTCTTGACTGATCCTAAGACTCTCCAGGAAACGTGATCCTGAGGCAGAGGCTGCTGGTGCATGCAGCTGCGAAACTTCTTGGAAGTTGACAAGGCTTCTTGCCGTTCTCAGATAGTCGCCTAGCGAGGGCCTATCCGTGCTTGCCGGCATGCGTTGCTTCATGTTTGTTAGGTGGGTTTAGTGTTACCATGCTGTAAACCTTGTTCATCTCTCCCACTCGTGCTTACGCTTCTTCCCGCAAGTCGCACACGTTGCACGCACGCGCATGCTGGCGCGGTCCTAAGACAAAGCCTGGAACCGCCCAGGTGCACACGCTTCCGGAAGCAGCGCCGCTACCACCGGCCAGTGCTCCTGGCTGGAGTGCCGCGTCTGCCGAGGATGCATCATGCAACACCTGACAGTGCTTGTCGTTTACACTGCCAGTGTCTCCAAGCAGCCTAACTTGCAAAAAGTCTCCCTCAGACAGCCGGTTCGACGGTTGGTTCGGCATCCTCAAGGCTTGAGCTTCGTCCGTTCAATTTTTGCAATCCCAAACCCTGGACCCTAAATTTGAGGACATGAGCAGACGGCACCATCATCATCATCATCAGCATCATCATCGTCAAACTTTGCCAGTATCGCGAAACGGGGGTGCAGAGATTGAAATTCTGATCCGTTCCCGAGGATCTCAATTACTCGGTGTCTGCAGTTGAGACAACCAGGTTTTCGTAACAATACTGATAACCATCTTAGCAATATCTTTGTGCAGGCGGGTTCAAATATTTCAACGAGATGTGCGAGAAGATAAGAAACAGGATCGACGACAATTTTGACGATCACCCCCACAAGCACTACCGCCACCAGCAGCGAGGACGACTACGACACAAGCAGCAGCAGCAGAAGATTAGTTGAAAATGGCAAGAAGAAGAAACGACGTACATCAGCAGCAAGCAGCAGCAACAGCAACACCACCCCTGCCACCACCAACACAAACACCAAGCAGCAACAGAAGCAACCGCTCCAACGGCCGCAGACGCAGCAGCAGCAACAACATCAGCAACATCATCACCATCAACAGCAACAACAAAGCAACCAAACAACAAGCACAAAGCAAGACACAACACACACACACAACACACAACATGGAATAATCAAAAACAAGGGCAACTTCAACAACAAGAACAACAATAACGGTGGCGGCAACGACTACGACAACGACAAGCGCAGCAACAGCCACAGACACAGCAACAGCAGCAGCAGCAGCAGCAGCAGCCGCGACAGCAGCGGCCTCAGCGGCAGCAACGGCAGCAAGAGCAACAGCAACAACAGCATCGACAACAATAGCAACCTCAACCTGGCTCTACGAAAGGGCAAAGACAGCAACAGGACCTAGTCTGAAAACGCACGACACTGCCACCTCATCCCACAATTCCTGCTTATAGCCTCACGTGCTCGCCTAGCAGGAAGAAGGGCAGATACTGCAAATCACCGTGCCGGACGGCGTGGCGGCTGGCCAAACTCTGGCGGCAACCCTGGCAAAAGATATGCTTTAGGGGTGAAGGGTTAGAAAAGGGCTTTACGGCTCAAGAAACAGCGGGGTTGTCTGGTTTCGGGCGTTTAAGGGTTGTCTAGTTCATGGTTGGGCTAGGGTTATTAAAAATGTACATTTTTATTCCTTACGGGGTTTACGTACCCATAAAAATGCAAAATGTTACCCAACTAGGACAAAGTTGTGGGAGGCATCAAGGCCTTTAGCCTTTCACCCGGCAGTCGAGATAGGCCTGGATGTAAAGGGACTGAACGACCTTAGGCGCTGGTTAAGAGAAGGCTGCATGCGTGCTAAACCCTAGGCCCTAAAAATCCTTAAAGCCTGTATGTTTGAGTCTTGTTTTAATGTTCGTTCATTTATTTGTTGAGGCTTTGGATCTGCCAGGGGATTAGGTTTTCTTCGGGCTTGTGGCTTTTGGCACTGTGGATCACGGTGTTTATGACTTTATAGGCATTTATAGGGTTTGCGGTATTCAAAAGCTTCAGGGTTGCAGGGTCTTCGTGTTTCGGGGTTACCCCAAGCACATGTTGCAATGCTGGCTTCGGTTAATCCCGCAGGTTTTGCAGAATATGTCGTTGAGAGTCATGCTTTGGTTTGCCTTTGTGCAGCACGTCTGACAGTGCCTCGGAGAATGCTACCAAATCAGAGTTTCTTGTGGGACGCACATGATTCTTCTAACTTTTCACCACCAAGGTCTCAGTTCCGGATGGGCGACAGCTCGCTTTTACCTTGCCCGCATCTGTGCAGCAGAGATTGGGGCTTCAGGCATCAGGGTTGCCGCTGTCTTTTTTTTTCAAAACGAGGTCTGCCAAGCACTTTGATTTGCTTGAATTATGGTAGCTCCCATAAAACAGAGGAATCCGGCCGAGACCCTGAACACTAGGATTCTCCATACAGCGACCCCCCTCTCCAAAATAATGTGAACTTGTAGCTTGCGAATTCCCCCCTTATCGTTTCGGCAATTTTGCAAATGCAGTTTCGCCTGGTGCTCTCTTTGTGGTCTCCTGGCGCTCTCTTCGTAGTCTCTCGGTGGTCTCTTTGTTGTGTCCTGGTTGTCGTGGTGGTCACTTGCTGGTCTCCTGGTGGTCTCTCAGCGGTCTCCTGGTGGTCTGCTGTTCCTGGTCCTGGTCGCGTGCTCGTCGTGGGTGCTATCATAGCGTAAATGCTGGAACGCTTTCCCAAGCCATTCAGGCCCGTTCGCATGCTTGGATATGCTTGGTATGGTCTTTCGCTGTTTGGGCATCTCCGCGGGCATAATAGGATCGCTTCCTGGCAGGCTGACAGCTCTGCTTCGGTGGGGAATGTGGGCCGGCCCTAGCTTTCAGGTGAAGAAGCTTGTATGTGTATATACGTTTTCATATCATGCATCTGTAACTATATGTGTGTATATACAACGGCTCAAGGCGGCTACGGCTCAAGGCTTACAGTCCACTTCAGTCGGTAGTGAATCTAATCATGGAAAGTCCTTTGATGAACGAGGGTCTTCCGCCGTCAAGTCCTGTTGTTAGCCCCGTTCGCAAGAAAAGCAAACAAGAAGCTGACGAAGCGGAGTTGATTGCTGCAAGAGAGGCTCAACAACCGGATTTGGGCTTGGCTTTGAACGGTGGCAAGCCGGAGTGGGTTACTGATCTGAAGCAACACATCGCTGAACAATTCGGTCAGTTCAGCGGCCTCATCTCTGGTTTCAATCAGCGACTCATGAGACTTGAGGAAGATGCATCCCCTCAACGGCTTCATCGGATGGAAGAAAAGCTCGTGACTTTAGAGACAGCTCTTCAGGAGATCAAAGACCAAGGACTCCCAAGGCCTACTCAGGCTGCTTCACGAGATCGTGCCCTCCCTCACCATACAGCTGCTCCAATCACTGGACTTCCTGATTACCCTCGCAAAGACGATCAGCAACATCACCCGTTCTTTGAAGCTGGTAGGGTTGGACCGGGTATGCTTGGAGATTCCCGCGATCATGCAGCCACGCACTCCTACCAGACCGACTACAACCACGTCATTGTCGGTGGATGGGAAGACGGAACGAAGAGGGATGTCATTCTGAAGGCGACCAGCACAGCCATCGAACAACATCACCCGCCCTTGGAAGTGGACTCCTTGCAAGTGTATGGCAAACGAGGCTCCATCTGTCACATGTATCTGAAACCTTCTCAAGCACAGACTGCATATGAGAGATACCAGAGCATTCGAAGTCAGATTCACGACAAAATTCCGATTGATGCAAATGGTCATGGCAAAATGTGGTTTACAGCAAGCAAACCAAAAGCTGTTAGGATGCGCAATCGACGAACGATGTTGGCAAAATCAAAGCTGGAACAGTTCCTCACTCAGATTTCAAGTCAGCTGGAGCTGGATGTTGAATGGTCCAAAGGGCTGATTTGGCTTGGAAATAAGCGGATTGCTGCCGACACCACTCACACTTTGAGCGCCTCCAACGGGCAGTATGTCATCGCCATGAGCACTGATCCTACTCAGGCTGAGATGGTGTTCCACTTTAACCTGACCAACATCTCCAACATGACGGGAGAGGAACAATGTAGGATTGAAGCGGCTTTGCACAGATTGCAATGAGCTCCTTCCGACAATGTAAGCCGTTACCAAGGGGACCCGCTGAGTGTGATGCAGACGTGCACTTGGAATGTCAGGGGCAAACGGATACAAGACGTGTCTGATTGGATGTCTTTAGAGTACACGCCTGAGATCATCACTTTACAGGAAGTTGGCGCGGTCCACCTGTTGTCTGAGTTGCTCGTTCCCTCAAGGGGTGAGAGCCATGAGATGCAGGAACTGGCTTTCGGGCTGGATTCGGACATGCATGAGTACAGAGTTTTTGTTGGCAGCACGGATGCACATCTCTCACAGGTGATTGCTATTGACACGGATGTTATTGAACACGTAAAATTTTCCTTCATTGGCAAGAGAGTTGTTGGGGTGTGCTTCCAGAATGCCAGAAACAAGCGTTATTCGCTGGTTCTTTCAGTTCATTTCCCTCATTCGGGTACTAGCGAGATTGTCTTCCAAGAAGCGGTCGATGAGTTTATGTCCATTACTCAACGGTATTCCCAGTATGATATCTTAGCGTGTGGGGATTGGAATTGCGAACCTGGGAGCAGCCGGTATGATACACTTGCTGTTCCTCTGACCTTGCAAGGCGGTCGATTCTGCTCTCCCATGTGCCCCACCAGATTTGGCATCAAGAGCAGTTCTATTCTCGATTACTTCTTCATTGCAGGGGCCTGGGTCACAGAATCGAATCACATGCTACAATTCATGGATGCGGAGTGTGTGACTGTGGTCAAGCATTCAGCCGAAGAGCTTCAGTCGGATCATGCTTGTGTGATGTTTGATTTCGCGCTGGAGCCGTCATCCTTCCTTAAATGTTCGCACACCCGTTCTCGTCCTTCCATCAGGCAGCATTCTAAATGTGGTCGTTGGAGAATTTCCACTTACAAGCTGGAGAGTGCTTGGCCTGATTGTCCATCATTTCAAACTATGTCGAGTCGCAAACAATGGGTCATTCTTTCTGGTATGGCCACCAAATCTTCCTATCGAGCTCCAACTAGACGGTATCGGGATTCGGCTGCACTCAAAGCCTTGTGTGCACAGCGGCGGCTGAGCCGTGATACTGCTGAGCGCACTGCCCTTACTCGTCAGATTCTTGCGTTCAGGCAATTTGAAAGGGATGCGTGGCACAGGGACCTCATTGCGAAAGCTGCGAATAAGGATCACGAAGCCTCCAAGTTTCTCAAGCACAACCGGTCTAATGAGAAGGGTCATCGTTTTGATGAGGCATTTCGAGTTTTCTCTGGCAGACAACACTTCACCAAAGCCGTTCAGGACTTTTTCGTTAGTCGGTTTCAAGCACAAAAGGTTCCACCATCGCAACTGCTAGATTATAGTCGGGATATTGGCGATTTGCCGATGGCGAACCCCTTCTCCATTGATGAAGTTCGTGCCGGGGTACTCCGAATGAAACTCAACAAATGCTCCGGTGCGTCTGGTATGTCGGTTGAGTTCTTACGTGCACTGCTACACCGCGAAGATGGGCTTCAACTCATTACTGACCATTTAAACACTGTGCTTCTCCAAGGCGCCTCATTGCCGGAGCATCGCATCGCCGTGTTGACACTACTGCCTAAACTTCGTGATGTGTGTGAACCACGAGATCTTCGACCTATTGCACTAATGGAGTGCACTCACAAGCTTTACATGTCGCTTCTTGTAGGGCGCATTCAGGCCACGTGGCCCGTTCCGCATTTTCAGCAAGGCGGACTCCCAGGTACACAGCTCATGGACGCTTTGTTCATGTTCACCAATCGTCTTCAACGTGATGCTTTGCAACTTTCACATTCGATTTGGGTTTCCGCTGACATCGAGGCTGCGTTCGATTCAGTGAACTGGGACAAACTACGGGCAACCATGTTTTCGTTGTCATCCTCACAGGTTCATCCGGAACTGCACCGTCTCCTTTACGAGATTTCCTCGCACGGCTTGTTGATGGAATTTCAGGGTCTTGTTACTGGCATGGTGCCGGGGAAAGGCATTCTACAAGGTGGCAGTCATAGTGCACAGGTCTTCGCCATTCTCGTTGAACATATCTTTCGGGACCTTCATGTCAGATGGGAACAGGAATTTCCGGGAGAAGTCGGGGCATGGGCGTTCATCGATGACTGCATGTTCGTCTTCAGCAGTTGGAGGGTGGCGGAGCGAGTCGTGCCATGGATTATTGAAGTCTTTGCGGATTATGGCCTACGTTGGAACTTGTCCAAAACTACGGTAATGTCTACGTCCGATATGCTTCGTTCGGGTCGCGGGTCCCTGTCCTTAAATCATGCCTTACGCGAGTGCACATGGTCGCAGACAGTTCGTTATCTTGGGATCTCCATACAGCAACCGGCCTTTGACTCCACTGAAGGCTGCACACTTACAGAGCTGTTGTTGCCGCAGTGCAAACAAAGGGTGATGGGTGGGATCGTGCAGATGCAGAGTATTCTCAACCGTGGTCATTGGCAACGGTGGGATGTTTCCGTTGATTTGGTACAAACATACATTGCCTCTCGCTGGCTTTGGCTTTCCCCACTTCTTCATCCAAATCGCGAACACTTGGCTTCCCTGCAATCTCTACAGTTGTCTATCTTATGTCAGACCTTGAAGCTTTACATACCTGACTGGTTGTCGAGTTCCCAGGCTGGTGGCCTCAATCGACTCAGAAGGCGTGCTATTCGTGAAATTCTAAGACTTCGCAAACCTGAGTCATTGTGGACTGTGGCATGGCTCCATCGCAAACATGGGTACTTCGGTCATTTACTGCGAAGGCAAACTGAACACATGGCTCGGCAAGAACTCCTTTGTCCCTTACATCAACAACGACCGGGCCGAGCCGGCACTTGTCAAAGGTGGGTCTTGAGTATGTGCCAGAAATTCTTTGACAGTCCTGCCTTGAACATTGAAGCTCTTTCCAATTTGTATGTTGACAAGGAGCAGTGGTTGTCTTTCTTTCCGCTTGTCTTACAGGAACATGGACTACAACTTTCGGAACATCCCAGTTTTCATTACGATACGTGGCTACGGTGGCGGGACCCCTTCCTTGCTACCACTTCTTGGTTCCGCGCGGTTTTGTTCGACTATGCTCCTGATGACTCGTGGACATTTAAATGGTTGTGTGAGACGTCTGGATGGCTTGAGTTGACCTTCTATGGGACGGTGCATTCGGTCCTGGAACAGTTTATTCCACGTCTTCTCATGCTACACGGGGACTTATTCGTGGTGCAACTGCTATGTCCAGCTACTGTCGTCGCACTACATGGTTCACTTATCCAATCGGATATACACGTACACAACTTACAACGTCTACCTCAACTCAGCTTGGAGGGCATCCGGGATGATTGGGCACTACATGTGACATCCTTGTAGTTTGGTAATTCCGATTTTCTCATTGCATTTCATTTTAGATAAGCGTGCATGGCGAAATCGCTATGTTCCGCGTCGCGGCTGACAGGCAACTGAGTCCGTGTGAGAGAGAGATATATATATATATATGTTTATTTATTTATTCAACTCTGTATATGTGCACGTACATATTATGTATGTCCGTAGTCGCCCTACTTCCTCAAAGCCCTGAAGATGTGAAGAAATCCGCGGAAGCACTTCTAGCTGGATTCTCCAACCAGGACTTTGAGTGCTTACCCGCTCTGTAAAAACAGAAAGCACAACCAGTTTTAAGCCCTGTGCTGTCACTGTTATGTTGTTGTCATCATGATGCCCCTTACTATCTGATCATGAATGCTCCTTCCCTCAGTTCAAAACCTCTGAAGCCCTACGCCCTCGTTCCAAAGCAATGGCACGAATCTGAGGTCGGTTACCCGGCAGGCTCCGTGCTGGAAGTCTGGTTTGATCCCGGCGCGGGCAACCTGAGCCCGTTAGTTTGACAACCCGTTGTGGTCATTTTGGCTATCGACGAGACTAACAGCAGTAGCAACAGCGTCAGTGTGCTCGTTTCGATGTTTGCAAGTCTTGTTATTTCCCAACTTGAACCCTTAAACCTGGGTTGCAACACCCTGCTATTCGGGCCCTACAACTTTTTAACAAAAATCATGGAACCCTTCACCTTTACTGTATCACCTAGATAGGCACATGCGGTTGTTGTTGGACTCCGCAGACGCCCACGTCGTTGTCATGGGGGCAGAAAGCCTGGCTTTCGCAGCTCCTGCCTGGTGTTCAGCGTGTAATCAGGGGTTAGAAAAAGAAAACTCCCAGTTTGAAGGTGATTAGGAAATTGTAGAGATCCCAGCCTGACCCCACCAGCCCCTAAACCCATAAACTCTCAATCCCAAGTTTCTCCCAGCCGTTGGCATCGAATAGAAGTCGTAACGCAGGGCTTTGACACTGTCGCCGTTTGACCAAGTTCTGTGGGTCTAGGACGGTCGAGGCATGAGTAATGTGGTCTGTCAAGCAGGGATGCCACGAACCTTTGACCGGCCTTGAAAGCCTTGACCATGAGTGGAATGCCGCATGGATTCGGAGGTCTATGGACTCAGGTTTGTGTTTGCAAAAGCCGGGCACTGGATTGACCGGAGAAGCGACAGACTGTCCCATGTACAGGATGTGGAAGCACAAGCAGAAAAATGGGACCTTCAGTCACTCGTGCATTTCAGCATTCTGCGGCTATGTCGCATGATGAGACATGAACCTCTTTGGCAAGCCAACTGCGGCACATAAGCACGCAGTTGCTGCATCTCATAATCTAGCATGTCCCAGACATACACTCCAAGTATCCTTCTGGTCCGTTGCATGCCGTGTCTGTGTTACACTTGGGCATATGTTGCAGTGTAATGTCAGTGCGTATGTATGCACGCATGTATGCATGCATGTAGGCAGCTTCCCATATACACATATGATTTTTTATATATGTAAGTAAGTACGTCTGCATGCCTGCCTGCCTGTCTGTCTGCCTGCCTGTATGTATGTACATATGCACAAGTTCCTGCTTCCGTACGAGGTGACGAGGAAAGCGACGACTCCGCCAGGCTCGGCAGCAGTTAGGACTACCGCTCCATAAGGAGAGGCCCAGAGCAGGTTTGGCTATTGTTTCGAAGCAGGTCATTGGTTAGTGTAGTTCTTTCGGTTCATAAACCCCTCTCCTCTAATCAGGAGAAAACGGATCCCAACGTAAGAACCGGGTTGTGGTGATCTGGGGTCTACATTACCTGTCATGTTCGCACTTCTTGGTTTGCGATTTCGTTCAGAGGGTTGCAGGTTTTACGGAACACCACAACCTTCTTCATACCCATATCCAAGAGTTCTAGATTGGGGTTATATATATATATATATATATATATATAAGGCCTTGTATCTTCCAGCACTGAAGCCATGGTGTTGAGTTCCTATGCAGTCCAAACTGCATTGATGTCGGGCCAAGAAACTGCCTCATCAACTTGCCTCGCCTGAAATGTCAGAGAGTGAGAGCACCGAAATCCGAAGCGCCGAACACCCTCAACATTTACAAAACTCAAAACCCTCAACCCCTTGACATATGCGATAATCACAGCAGCAAAGAGGCTTGCGAAAGCCTTAGGTCCGTGTGCCTGCAATGGAGGCTTTAGGGGCCTCAGGCAAGCTCCGGGTGTACCTCCAAAACCGGTTTAGGGTACTTGGGTCTTTGGGATCTCACGGCCTTGGGCGCCCTTTGTGGACGTTGTTCTAACGGGGTTGGTTCCACTATCGTCCCGTGTTCGAGAAGCAGTGCGAAGCGACAACAGGTCGCAATCCTGCCTTATGCTTTGCGGAGCCTGCTTTCGGGGTTTGGAGTTTTGGAGTTTAGCAGTCTGTTGATCTGTGGATGTCTGTTGTCATGGGGATTCCGGCTTACGGGCTTGGGTTTGGGGTTTAGGGCTAAACGTCCAGGAGTTTGCAGTTTGGGGTTTGGCCACATAATGCAGGCCCATCATCGGCAGTGAGAGGGAAGAGCTTCTGACGCGATGACAAAATTGTCAATCGCATGAAACAGGCTGGAGGGCTCATTGCTTTCCCAGTCCCGTTTCAAAAGCTTGCAAGGTGCGCACTCTCGCTGGAAGACACAGGTCAGAGGTCTGCCTCTGAAATTCACATGCAGGAGCCTGGGGCAGATGACATGTGGACGCCTGTGTGCATTAGGGCTCACAGGGCCTGTCGGGGCATCACCCCCGGAAGCCCCTTGTTGGGGAGAGATGTATCCCATAGGTCTTGTAATAAGATTTCAAGTACGTGAGAGTAAAGGCTTCCTGTGCCGAAACCCGTATTGTTTAGCCAGAGTGGTCAAGCCGACGCAAAACCCGGGGTCCCGGTCCTTGTCAATGAATGCCTCATGCTGGAGCAATGGCTATCCTTGGACGGAAGGCTTCTCGTGCCAGGAGCTGATGGGCTGCGATTTCGGGTTCATTTTGTCTACGGGGCTGGGAATGAGCGAGCAGGCAGGCACCCCCGGGGTGCACTAGCTGGCTGCACTTCCTTTCAATGAAGGACCTCTTGTTGCCTGCCTAGTAGGCCTGCACTGTTCTAACAACTCGGATGAAGAAAACAGGACAGCCTGTGCCGCAAACCCCAATTGCTGAGTCAGACGAGGCTGCACATTCTTATCTGTCACGGGCCTTCCGAGACTGCCTGCACCCAGCATGCTAGGTTTTGAAGGACTGAAAGCGTTTGTAGTCATTATTTGCATCACTCCATCCTCCGATCCGCTCTGTGAGTGGCGTTTGCAGTATCCGAGCTTGGACCCCTAAAGCCCTGAACCCCGTTTTTGCAGGAGCCAGACAGGTCCTGCTGTAGCATCCTGGCAGACTTCTGTGGGTGCAAGCTCTAAGGCTCTGGGCTTTTAGCTTGGGTTTAGGGTTTACGGTTTGGGGGTGCGGGGCTCAGGGCACCAGGGATTTTTCATATTGAATATTGGGCTCAGGCTTCTGTTTCCGCGAGCTCGTCTGAGAGCTCTTGATGCCAGCTTAAAGGTAGCCTTGAAGGGCTCTGCACTAGGTTACTAGGGTTTTGAGCTTCGGGTTTAGGGATATTCAGGGTATAGGGCTTGCAGCGATGCAATCGAGATTGGGGTTGCAGAAGCCGGTTTCTGCAGCTTCAGATAAATCAAAGCGAGTGCATCTTGCGTTAAGTTCAGCAGAGGGTTTCAGGCAGTTTGCGGCTTAGATTTCCGGGTTTCAAGATCCCTCTTTCATTTCTTTCAGACAAGAAATTGACAGGGAACAAGCATGAAACGCTGTAGTACCAGACGCCTACAGCCATCAAGCCGTCAAGAGCCTAAGCCCTAATCTGCCGCCGTGAAACCCAAAAGGTCCAGGGTTGGGGTTTAAAAGTTCAGCATGGTTCAGCTGGACCTCATTCAGCACGTCTCTTTCGCCTGCCAGCATATTCCAACCGCGAAGCCCTACAGTGAGAGTGATTACCTGGAATTGAACAGCTTGACAAAAAACCCGCAAAAGGCGAGTTTGAGAGATAATATCAGAAAATACGATGGTGGAAGAGGAACCGCTGAAAGAACCCCCCAATTGTCTGAAACCCTCCCATATCAGCTTTTGGCGAAACGTACTAAGGATCATGGCCGCAGCTGGGAAGGAAGATGGCCTTGTGAGATATGGGAGTTACCGTAATGTCAGGGTTCCCTTTCAGAGGTCTTTTGACTTAGGATCCTACTGGTTCTGTTTGACATTATTGCGCGACTCCTGATCTTCGATAACTTCTGCACTCAAATCCCAAAGGGTTGAAGTATATATCATTATGGTATTTACTTATAGGGTATTTTGGGGGGTCGAAGTATATACCATAATGATACTTGGACCCTTTGGGAATTGTTGGGTTTTCAGTAAGTATGAGAATGCGTGATTGTGTGTGCCATAGTGGTTGGCTCTCTTCTCAATCCTAAAGGCACAAAAATCCCCCGGGGCGTACAAAGTTGCGTTGTCAAGTTCGCGGCTGCGGTGCTGTGCACGAGTTTGTTCATGTTCCTTGCAGATGCCACTTGGGCTTAGCAGCCCTTAAGCTTTACTACTATATTACATTTAAATATGTGCATATCTCTATATATATATATATATATATATATATATATATATATATATATTCATATTTATGTTATATTGTTAAATATATATTACATTATATGGTTCCACGATATACTATTCTATATCAGCGTTCGCATTTGGGCTCCAAGGCCCACTTGGCTGGACTTTAATTGGGAGGTTGGGCTTTCTGGGGTGTTTAGGGTGTAGGGGTCACTGGAAACTGGACATGTGCTTAGGGTTTATGGCTTACTGGCCAGGTCTTCAGTATTGGGCTCTTATTTCGAGTTCAGTGAACTGTGTGGCTGGCTTTGAGGTTTCAGCTTCGATCTGGAATGCCATAGATCCTGCCGGCATTTCTCAGTCGCATATGACCGAACCGACGTAAATACATGCCCTGCTGAGCACAATGCTGGAAGCTGGACACGAGCTTAGGCAACGTAGAATCTTAGTAACCGATTGCTTAGGCTTAGATCTTCGCTTCAAGGGAGTTCTCGGCTTCTTGATGGGCAGAAGGGCACCCTGTGCTCCAAGCACTGTTCCAGCAACCTACATGCAAGTCTCGTCCAAGGTACGTAGAAGAGCTGCAAGTCGAGTCCGACCTTGCGAATGCCTCAGAGCTTTTTTCGAATGGAAGATGCCGACCACCTCACACCCTAAACCCTAAACCCCAGGGCGTGCTTGGCAGCGGGGCCACCAGTGGCGATGATCTGGCTTTGCCTGTCGTGCCTCCGGCAATCGCACACCTTTCGAACAGGCCTGCGTTCCTTTAGGGGTTTCGGGGTTAAGGGGTTCATGCTCAGGAGTTCGGGGTTCTTCTTAGGGGCTCAGTAGGTATATTGGTATCTGTATCAGCCTATGTTCTATTTATATTAACCTTTGTTGGATACCTGAGCCCCTAAGCCTTTGATTTGAGGGTATTGCTTTGGGGTCAGGGCTGCCGACATGCAAGTTCATGCTTCTGGGACTTATGCTTCCCCTTACATCTCAATCCCCTCAACTCTGAACCCCGCGGGGAACACACCCAGCCTCGCATGAGGGATGCCTGTCTGCACGAGGCTCGAGTAAACGTCTGAGCTCCGAAACCTCAGCCCTTAATTAAACTTCAAGACCCTAAGCTGCAAGAGGTCTGGGCCTTCAACCCTAACACCCCTAATGGCCTCCAAACTTCTAAATCCTAAGCCACAAGCGCCAGGCCATGAAAACTAGAACTGTCAGCTTGGCGCCGCGAACGACCTGGAAGTCATGGGGCGGAACAGAGTACTTACGCAAAAGTTTTAGCAAACATAGCAAACCAGAGGTCTGCTGGGGAAGCATGTGACTGCGAGAGTTTAGGATGAGGAGTCATGTCCCCCAAATGCTACGGCCACGGTGCAGTTCAAAAGAGGCGAGCAGGGGCAGCAACAACAACACCACAGTCACAATACGAATTGCGATAGGAACAATGATAGTGGGGAGTGCTTACGCTTCTTCAGATAATTCAGGCGAGAAGACATGAAATGGCCGTTTCCCTCGGCTTCGGAGCTGGCTACTGCTCGGCTTGGTCGCTCATAGATCGGCTTTTTTGTTTTGGACGTGACTCTGCAACGACTCCTCCCCACACTACCCTCATAAAGCTCGAAACCTGCGAGCATTACACAAGCTTGAAGTCCTCAGCAACAATCAACCGGCAGACCCGGACCCGGATGTAAGACGGGCTCCAGAGCTTGCCAAGGATCTGAGCTTACCTATTTATTGGAGAAACACGACCCCCCTGACAAAAGCAAGTTTCTGAATGCGGAGGCGAGGCGGCGTTTCAGCTGAGCCCGCGGGTGCCAACAATGTTCGTACTTCGGCAAGTTTGTTCATTCAGACACATTGGCGCATTCGTCGTCGCCGTTTATCTGCTGTTGTTTCCAAGAGTGAGTGCTGGCAACAATGGTAGAAGTAGTGGTCGTCGTCGTGGTCGTGGCTGCGGCCCTGATAGTAGTAATAGTCGTCGTAACGGTAGTGGTAGTCAGCAACGGTGGCAGTAGTAGCAGCATAAGCAGAACAAGCACAAGTGGTAGCATGGTAGCAGTTGCAGCCGCAGTCGCCCTCGCAGTTGCAGCAGCAGTTGCCGAGCCGCAGACATCACCGCAGCTAGTAGTACAATTAGTACAGTAGTAGTAGTAGTAGTAGTAGTAGTAGTAGTAGTAGTAGTAGTAGTAGTAGTAGTAGTAGTAGTAGTAGTAGTAGAAGTAGAACTAGTAGTACTAGTAGTACTAGTAGTACTAGTAGTACTAGTAGTACTAGTAGTAGTAGTAGTAGTAGTAGTAGTAGTAGTTGTTGTTGTTGTAGTAGTTGTAGTACTAGTAGTAGTGGTGTAGCAGCAGTAGCAAGCGTCGGTAGCACCACCAGAACCGCAACCTTCGGCACATGTGCGCCACCATCACGAGAACTGCCGCCACCATCATTGCCATGGCCATCTCCAGTGCCACGGAAAACGCCATCTGTGCAGGTCTCATGCAGTTCAATTCGTATTCAGCAGACGGCCGGGCAATTCAAGCTCGGGCTCCGGTCTAAAAGCGGGGCAGAATGAAAGACTGTTGCGGAATACTGCTGAGAGCTGCAGGCCGAAGACGTGCGAGAGTCAAGCAAGATTTCACAAAACTATTCCTGGTGGACCTGCCTGACTTGCCATCATGGCTGGGGCTTCCTGCAGCTCCCCCACACCCCGAACTGAAATCCAAGCTTCAGGAATCTCGAGTCCGAATCTGCGAAGCCCCAAACCAACAGTGCTGAGGTTGGGCCGAGTGGACCGCACCTTTCTACAGAAAGTCGGAGGAACATCGCATCAAGCTTCTTTGTGCAGTGAGGATCCTTGCACGCACTGACTAGAATAAGATAGAACAAGGTTTTGGGGGGTATATTATACTCATGTTCGAAGGACACTATTGATCATTGCAGTTCTTGGCTTGAGCTCGCCGTTGAAAGCTTTGGCTACGTTGCCCGACACGTTTAAGAGCTAGCGCAGATTGACTCTTGGAACCCGGTGCTGTGCGAAGGCTCCAGGACAAAACTGCATTCTACTGCGAAGTGTTGAACCCTTAACCTGAGGCCAAAACTGCAAGCCAGAGCGTCAAGAAACGAAGCTGTGCACCAAAGAAGTCTTCTGACTGAAGCCTTGCGGTCTCCTACCAGGAGTTCGTGGAATCAGACGTTTGTATTGGTATTCAGGTTGTTCACACGCTTATAACATCTCAACAGTATATGCTCGAAGCTGCGCGGCCCGTCGAACTGTGGCAAACACAGAGCTTACGGAGCGCTTACACCCTAAACCCCTCCAAGAGCCGAGGACCTGTCCCATTTTCCAGGGTGTGGAGGAGCGAGCCAGCTGACTGCAACTAACCAAGTGGCCGGCTGGGCCTTTAAGTTTTGTTGTGGGCCGCTGATACAGATAGTGCCGGTCGTCAAGATTTCTGTAGCACCTCAAGCCTGCAATCTGCACCCGATCCAGACATTCTTTTGAGTATGTGGGTTGCTGCTAGCTTGAGCCTTACACTCCGGGCTCAAGTCATGGAGGAGCCCAGAGAGCAGAGAGCGAGCCGAAAGTTTGCATTCCCTTTGCAGAACGTTTTGTTTAGGGTTGAGGGCTTCAGCGTTTTAAGGTCCAGGATTTTAGGGTTGAGGGGTTCAGGGTGGGCGGTTTAGTGGAGCCGGTGCGGAACTCTGGCACTTTGCATTCTGGCTGGATGCCTGGGCCAAGCTTTGCACCTTCCGACTCGAGAAGGCAAGTTCCCTAAAGCCATCTATCACAGTTTACGCTCACAACTGCGTTAATACATGATATGGTTAAGCGCTGCAGTGAGAAGGCACGTAAGTGCTAAAAGTTTAGTAGGAAGGCTCTGCAGATCGTGGAGCATGCTGCCTACAGCCATGCTGAGGACTTGCACACCATAGTGGATGCCATCGAGGTCGTTAGTGCCCCGGCACTCGTTTTCAGGAGCCTTATGGTTGCTTTCCGAGGCCTTAAGGCAAAAGCCAGAAAGTTGGAATATGATGTTCCTAACCCTTCTGTGGTAAATTATAGGGTATCCTACCATGAAACCATATTCCAACTTCCTGGAGCTCCCTGTAAAACAGTTGGAGCTTGGATAGAGACAGAGACAGTCTACTGTAGCAAAGTTGTTGGGGTTATAGGGGCGACACAGGGACATTGCAAGTGCTCTCCGACCTTCGTAGTAAAGGGCCCGGTATTCAGATTTCGAAAATCTAAACCGGATGAAGATGCGAGCACCCCCCTGACCAACCAGTTTCTGCCGGAATATTTCTTCTGAAGACTTGCGGCATAAACGTTTGTCAGTGCCGCCACTGTCACTGCTTCGCTATTGCTTTGTCGTGGCTTGATGGTGCTGCTACTGCTGGAGCCAGCTCCCTCCCGAAGGTGTGCTGCAGCAAACAGTTCACGTGCTGCCGCTTCTAGTCCCAAGAAAACACGCCAGACTTTAAGATCAGGAGTGTACCTTTAAACAATGGCCTTGGGCTCTCTGAGTCTTGATCGCCGTAAGAGTCGGTCCTGGTTTCCGAGGGCTATGTTCACTGATCCGAGGCTTCCAGCCTCGCGATACCATCTACACCAAAGGTGAGTATGGTAGGCACAGCTGAGTTTTAGAGTTTCGGGCTCCAGAGTTCGGAATCTTCAGTCTCAGGCCTTAACGCACTTTTTAGGGTCGGCACTCGATGCCCGAGTCAAGTCGTTGAACGGGTGTTGGAGGCGGTGGAAGTGGGTGCAGGTCACTTCCTTGAGGTGTTTGTGCCTGTTTTCTCAGCGGCAAAGCCCCACTGCCAGCGACAAGGAGGCCCAACGAGGCGACAGAGTCTCCTAGCGACAGTCATGGGTTTTAAGAACCCCCGCCACCATATTCAAGTCCTCTGCTTAGCAAGCTTCCCAGAAATTGGAAAACCCATTCATTCAGCCCTGCCTTTGAGAGGAATCCGAGCTTAAACCATGACGTAATTAGCACAGTTGCAGGATGTGTGAGTTTGCGAGAACACCCAAGCATGGTTATAAGCACCACCCTATAAAGGCACACCGAATTTTTAAGGGCCTCGGTATGATACAGGCTGTGGGTTGGGCGCGGAGTTGCATCGCTTGCCTCACGATTCAAGGGGTATTTCAGGACAAAAGGGATTGGTTGTAACAGATGATGTGTATGGTTTAGAAGTAGCCTGGTTTGGAGGTTTCAGGTTTATGCTTTCGCTTTTTGTTTTGAACAACTCGGGAAAATCGTCGCAGCAGCAACAAGTTATCACATAGATTTACCCCCACAAGCCCTTTCCTAACGATACAGGTCCCCACCTTGGACTGGAGGGCCCCTGTTGCCTAGTAGCTAACCTTTAACCTTTTTTTCGGGTAGTATAGTCACTATGTAATCCCTATATAAAAAAAAGGTTAACTTTTAGTTCCCCATGATACCCGACAAGTAGGGTTGTGTGTCCGTCAGAAGTGGCTTCGTCCTCATCTCGGGGCAAGTCATAGCTGAAGCGGAGGACGTTGATCAGAGCGACAACATTTTCAGGCCGGGCTGGCAGCTTTTAAAGTGTTCTTTCTGAACAAGAAACCCGGGACAACAACGACAGCTTCCACGTCTCATGTTTCTTCTGCCGCTTCTAGTTATTCTAGTTCTGCATCTACTTCTAGTGTTTCTTCCATTCGAACTCTTTTTCTTCCACTTCTTCTACACATACTTCTTTACCTCTTACGACTCCTGCTGCCTACCGCCACTACGACGGCGACGACGACTACTACTACTGCTACTACTATTACCACCTACCACTACTACTACTACTACTACTACTACTACTACTACTACTACTACTACTACTACTACTACTACGACTACTACTACTACTACTACTAGTGCTACTGCTGCTGCTGCTGCTACTACTACTACTACTACTACTGCTACTACTACTACTACTACTACTGCCACTGCTACTGCCACTGCTACTACGACTACTACTACTACTACTACTACTACTACTACTACTACTACTACTCCTACTACGACTACTACAATACTGCTATACTACGACTACTACTACTACTGCTACTACTACTACTACTACGACTACTCACCACCACCACCATCACCACCACCAGCACCACCACCAATACCACCACCACTGCACACACTCCGCACAAAGCACTGTGAATGCTCAAGAGGTACTGCGTACGTCAATCAACAACTACGGCTGCTGCTGCAGCTGCTGCTGTTGTTACGTCATTGAACTACTGCGCAACTACAAACAAGTACTTTCGTGCACGACTGGTTTGTGCACGATTGCGCCGGCTTTTGCGTGGGCTTGTGACTTACATGTTGATGTATAGTCAGATTTTGGGTTCATGGCGGGCATTTTTGACCCACAGCAACTTACGCTAAGGTGCCACAAGTTTTGCAACCCGTATCCACACCAAAATAAGCGGAGGCTCCAGGATTCCTTGCAAAAGCAGCCACATAGACACCTAGATGTCGATTGCCCTGGCCCAAACTATCAACCGAGAGACTTTGAAGCTTGAGTGGCAGAGGAGATCAAAGAGCAGATGGGTGACGACGCTAGACTGCCATTTATTCTTTTGTGCTGCTTTGCGGCTAGCTTGAGGTGTTGGAGGCTTTGCTGGCAACCTTCACCTTCGAAGCGTTGTGATCACGCAGACAAGTGTAGATTGTCGGCTTGTAGGTTGGGTTGAAATCCGTTCGGGCAAGGCACCGCTGTAAAAAAGCAAGTCAAGAATCAAGAGCTTTCACGGCAAACGGCTTCATGGTTTTGTGTTCAGCGAGCCCTTCCATTTGACCCTTCGTCTCTCTAGACTAGTGACTAGTTGGCATGCAGTCGGACAGGTTCGCTTGCAATTCGTGGCCATGCCATGATTGCTTAAGCTATACGCATGCATTCCATGGGCCACTCGTTCTTCTAAGTAAGCTGCCAGCTCAAGACGTACAGCTTTGGGCCGCCTGCTTGTAATTAAGGGTTGGAGTAAACAGTACTAGTTACTAGGATTCCCGGATAACCCTATCTTACTTTAGTACGAAATCTCAAACCGTGTTCGAGTTCTTAAGACTCTACATCAAGAGACAGATGCACGTTCTGTCGTTCTGAGGTTCGAAGAGGGGCAGTTCTTCGGAGAACACACGATGCTGTGGCTTCTCACGCAGACCCAGCTGTTGGGTGTTGACCATTTTGCACAGGTAAAGTTGCGAAGCAGAATTGGTTTGCTTTGCCAATTCAATCCTGCCTACGTGATGCTTACACGAAATCCATCCGAAGTGGGACACCCAAGCTCAAAATTTGGAGCATCGAGACCCAATCAGTGGTTGGAATACGCCTTTCAGGGTGAGCTTGCTACCAGGTACAGGCGACTTGATGTAAGACAGAAGATGTTCAGTTGATCCCAAGAACCCTAAATTTTGCCCTAAACCCTTTTGAACCAGACATCCGTTCTGTGGGGCCGAATCTCTCGATTTCCGCAGTGCCGGACCTATGGCCTGAGCGGGAGCCCGCTTTTCCCGAACCTGCAAATTCCGGTGCTTCTTTGTGGAAGTTCGGGAAGCATGGCCCTTATGCATATCGTCATACTTAACTTCATCACCAGCATCCTCATCACCAAATCATGCATACATACATGCATAGATAAATAAATACCATTCACAATATGTGCACTGCCAAGAAAGCCGAGCACTCAGGTGGGGCTTCACACGACGGGTGACAATGACAACGTCAGAGGGCTGTGTTGTCGGCAAGCTCCGGCGGGATGCGCTTCCTGGCAAGACTTCGAATCTTTGGATTTGCATTCCTGCCTTGTTTACACCCTGAACCCTAAACCCTCAACCCTGTAGGAGGGAAAGAAAACCCTAAATCCCAAACCGTTACTGCTCCTTCCGTTTATGATACCAGTTACGAATAGAAACATCGTGATATGTTTGTCCGTCATCTTTGGCGGCTGCACACAGGGGGGAAAGGCTCTGTGTTATAGAAGTGTCAGCCCCTGGAAGCCCGAAATCCTGCGGTTTTGGTTCAAGAAGTAAGGCTCCAGTCAAATTCCGCAGCCTTAAGGTTTGTGGTGTAGGGCTCGTTATTGCGTGAGATTGCTTCAGGGGTGTGAGATTTTCAGGTCAGACTTCGAAGAGAGGGGGTTTCTGCTAGAAGGCTCGCAGTCGCTGCGCCGTCTCAGGTACTTCAACATCGTCACTCGCTCTGCGATGCGCACGAGATCTCTGAAGGAGAAGTATTTAAGACAAGCTCCCAGCTTGAAATATGCACAAGTTCTAAGTGATCCCTATGGACTTGGGGTCTTGGGGTGGGGTGTCGGGGGGGGGGGGGGGGGGGGGGGGGGGGGGGGAGAGTTGTTCTACTGTTGTGTCACACAACAAAAAAGTCCACAGGCCAAAGGTGGAGTAGGGTCAAGAGTCCTTCAGTTCCAGTCTTACGGTCTTTCCGCTGTACACGCGCAAGCCTCTTGGTGTTCGTGCGACATGTGCATGAGTTTGAGGCTGTTGTTGACTTGGTCAAACGAGCAAGCTGTGCCCGCCCGACTGGTGCCTCACTGCCATGCGGAATGCGAGTAGAGGTTCCAATTTTCGAGACTTTCGATGACGAGCTCATCATACGAATCACCGACATTGTTGCGGCTTGGCTAAAAGTTGGAGTCACGTGGCGTACAACATACTTGGGGCAGTGTGTTGCCCGGTTTTTACAGCTTCGATTCTGAAATTCGAAGCAAACATGACTGCCAACATAAGCAACACACACAGGCTCAAACTGTTCAGCCACTTATCCGAAAGGGCTGGTCTAAGAACGCTGGCCAAGAGTTCGGCCGGCATTCGTATTCCCAACTGCTGCGACCACGAGGAGAGGCGGACCTACGCGCAGGGACAAAAGATCATCAAGCAGGGAGAGGAGTGCCTGGAGAAAGCTTTATACGGCCTTGATGTAGGGGCCTGAACATCTAGAAATAGAAGTTCTTAGAGGTCTTCATCTATGTCAATGAATATATATATATATATGTATACATGTGTCTATATATATATATATATGTATGTATATATATATATATATATATGGTAAAGGGACCCTGAAACCATTCTGCCGATTGAGGTCTCGGCATTAGGGTTTTTGCACGTTTGCAAGAGCAGGGCATTGCCGAGAGCCGTGGTTCTTAAATGCGAGAATTCGAGGATGACAATGTTCGTCACACTTAAAAATATTCGTAGAACACTGCTGGAATCCGGAAGTACGCAGGACATGCAGTAAGACCGGACGTCGCAGCTAAGCCCCAAAACCCAGACCCCAAACCCTGTATCAAATAGAAAGCTATGCTGTGCTTCCTGCACCAGCTCAAGGAACAGTCTCTGCCAGAAGAGCAGACGACTTGTTCTAAATTGTCATCCTGGTTTGGCCAAGGGTCTAGGTCTTTGGGACCCGGTGTGGCTTGTGTCCCTTTAATAACCATGAGCAACGTATAGGTTTCGAACGGACCAGTCACTTCGCGCCAGGAGATTGTACAAGCCGGCCAAAGCGTCTCCGAAGGAGAGAATGTTCCTGCCGAGCTGTATATTCTGCTGAGTTCCTTGGCCAAGTTCTACAGCCTCAGCGAAGGACAACCGTTAGGCTGCGGGCATCAAGATCTCCTCTGCAAAATGAACTTGCAAGCAGACACCGAGGGGTTTACTGCGGCCGAAATAACCTGCAGCATGCCCAGCGTCGGCACAGCAAGAAAGCCCATTGCTTCGAATTGACTGGCATCCCCAAACCGCTAAAAACCCTTGCCCGCAAAGCCCGCAAAAGGCCCTGCAATCGCCTATTAAATATTGGATGAGAGCTGCTTCAGGTGGTCAGTGCGAAGCCTCCATCATGGTCGATGTCGCAGCTTGGCCAGATGGGGGATTTAAGGATCTTGGGTCGCTTGAGGTTCAGGGTTTAAAGGATTGATTGGACGTTTTGGTCTGTGGGGTCTAGCCTTCTTCACAGGCAGGCATCTCTGATCTAAGCAGCGTGCTGAGTAGTCCAACTTTGAATCTAGACTTCAGAATGTTCGACTAATACCTTAGAAACCCAGCTGATAAGATCCTGTATAAGCTTATAGAACCCACGAAACCAGCCATAACGCCATGTTAAAAACTCTTTGAAACACCATACAAGCCGATGCTCTGGAACTTTCCCTCGTCGAACCTGAGGAGGTGTTCGTTACATATGTATACACACATATTTACGTAGCACATTAGAATATATTATGACACAGTATATATTACAACACTGTACTACAATATAGCTCAGCATAGTGTGATGCAACGCCATATAACATAACATGATATGGCACTAAACTACGACAAAATACAATGCCAGATAACATAATATGGCATGTGATTTAACACCATGTAGTATAATAAAGCACAACATGGCATAAAACTGTAATATATGATATGTAGTTGTTTGAAACATAAAACACAACATGGCATAAAACTGTAATATATGATATGTAGTTGTTTGAAACATTGCATGTTGTTTTACATGCAGTCTGTTATGTACACATATCAGTCGACGTCACTACATATACATTATATATATATGTATATATACATATATATATATATATACATATATATATATATATATATATATTTATATGTATGAATATGTGTATATGTATATATATATATATATATGTATATACATATATATATATATATAGTTATATTTATATGTATGAATATGTGTGTATATGTATATATATATATATATATATATATATATATATATGTATATACATATATATATATATATATATATATATACATATATACTGTATGTTAACATTATTGTTTGTTGTGAGTATGGCCGTTATGATTAGCAGTAGTACTCCTGTTAGCAGTGCGTAACAGAATATCATGCTAGATATTATGCTAAGTCTTCTTTGCTGTTCTGACACATCGTACTGTTTATTTCCTGTTACAGCAATTGTTATTTGTTCTATCATGTTAGATCATATTGTGTGTGTTTTGTTCTAGTTTAGTCGTAGTTTACTATCTTTAGTCTCGTGAATTTCAAATTATATGATAATATACAGTATTCTATATACAATGAATCATTATACCATTACGATATGACTATGAGTTTGCGCATTTGTTCAACTATGTATTTATAGACACATACGCAGGTGTGTGTGTGTGTGTGTACTTATATAGACTTTTTCATTTTTATACAGATAGATAGATACATAGATGCAAATCTCTAGACATATACAAGTTCAAATTGACATTCTGCGCGTGTGTAGATGTACGTATGTGCGCATGTGTGTACGCGAATAATTAGAGAGCCAGTGCTTGGCAAAAAAGGGTTTGCCTTGTGACAACCTTGCCCCTGGAGCAGGTCGGAGGCAACAAGAAGGAAGCGGAGGAGCAAGCTGTGAGGGAGTACAAGCCAGGCACGTGATGGTTTTCTGGCTTCGATGTTTTGGGCGAGGTTCAGGACACAAAAATCGTAGTGTTCCATGCTTGTGGGAATTTTGGGAGGTAGAGCCCCAGAGCAGGCCTCTTGCCTTGGGACGAGGATCTTGGACGGGCAGGGAGTTGGTCTCGCAACTTGCGAGCTCGATTCCTCATCTTAGTATAGCCACGTTAGTTTTGCTTCCAAGAAGGATTTTTGGCCCGTCACAACCAAGGCTGAAGTCCTTACCCGAAATCAGGAAGCTGTGGGAGACCAGTTTTTCAAACCCCTTCGCAATGATGGGGCGAAAGCCTGGAAACTAAGCATCCTACAGCCTCCACAAGCTGCGAAGCAACTCCTCAGGCAAAACATCATTGGAGACGCTTGAAAACCCTACGCTGTAAAGGAGTGGAGTCGAAAACCGCGGTAAGAAGCAAAACCATTCATCAACCGCCCTAGAGCCGACCAAAAGACCAGACTCCACCCCATTTCCAGCACATGTGTACACAGCAGGTCAGCGTTTTGGCGAGCTTGGTTTTATTCACCGGAAGACGCGTGCAGCAAACGTGACGGCAGCTTGCTTGCGGAATGGAGTTGATCTCAGGGCGTGCTCTACGCTTCCCATATTGCGACCTATATATAGTCACACCATAACTTACGGTTCCTAATTTCCTATGTTTAAAACCTGAAGCCATGAGGCGTTTGAAGTCCTTTCGACTCGCTTAGGGCTCTTCCCGACTGGGCAGATTGACTTAATGGTGGCTCCGCCTTTGCTATCCGCTATCCATTCCTACTCCGTCCGATGAAAGGGAGTGGAGGTGCGCGAGCCCCAGATCCCCGCAGCAAAAGCCTAAACCCCTAAACCCTAAAGCCTAAGCCCTAAACCCCTAAATCCTAGGCCCTAAACCCATAACTTACTTAGCCAATTGGAGAACTTTTATACTTTTTGGCTTTATGTAGTCGGTCTATCTTACAAAGTCTGAACTTTTTGGAGCCTGGTTATTGGAGAAGAGAGATAAACCCTAAGCCCCGAAACAGGAGTCGTCAGGTTCCTCTTTACCTGCGTGGGCTTTGGAGAGACTCGGAGACCCACTCGGAGTTAGCTTTTTAATAAAGCCGATAAACCCTGGGTTTAGGGTTTAGGGTTGGTTTAGGGTTTAGGGGTTTAGGGTTTAGGGGTTTAGGGTTTAGGGGTTTAGGGTTTAGGGGTTTAGGGTTTAGGGGTTTAGGGTTTAGGGGTTTAGGGTTTAGGGTTCCCCTGACGCCCTGAAGACATGGTTTCGGCTAAGATATAAAACCGATGTAGAAGTCTGAACCCTTAAGCCCATGGAGTACGGTTTAGCGTCGAGGCCAAAGAGACTCAACCTGTCAAAGTTCAGGGTTTAGGGTACTTAAATCCTAAACCCTAAACTATATTAGAGCTTAGGGATTAGAGTTTACCGCAACCTACCAAGACCTACCTGTTTTGTAGCGTGCCTAACAACCGTTTTAGGGTCTATCATAAGAAGGTATAAGTCGCGTGCAAAACCTTGAGACCCCCCAATCAAAAAAAAAACAAATTCCTAAACCCAGTGTCGAAAACCCTTAACCCTTGAACCATTCGCCCCTTAACCCCAAACCCCAAAGCCGTAAAACTTAAACATCGCACGAAGCGGGCAAGTCCCAGAACCTGCCCTTCTACAGCAGGCAAAGACCGAAGTGGAACTGCTCCTGCGGCATACAAAGATTTCAGGGGTCCCGATGTGGGCTTAGGGTTAACAAGGCTTCTAAGGTTCAGGCTTCAGGGGCTAGTGCTACGGCTTTCCGTGGTGTCGCTTGCGGGGTTTAGGGGCCAGTACTAAGTTTCAGATCGCTCCAGCAAGAGCAGTCTAACTTGAATGTTTTGCGTGTTGAGCTGGGTTTTCGGCCGAGTCGAACGCCTGTCGCGGCCCACTGCGACAACAGCCAGCCGATTGGGATTGCATCTAAGTCTTTCCCGTCCGCGGTCGTACTCTCACCCCCAAACCCTAAACCCTGTAAACCTCAAACCCTACTGAAAAGTCTTAGCAAGAGGCAAAAAACGGTAAGAGTCACACCAACTCGGGCCGATTCAGGCCAAGTCCACACACAGCACACCCCAAATCGATCTTTCGGCCACCAAGGC